AGTGAAAATTGACAGACAGGAATGGAATGAATGGGAAGCAGATGAGTGGCAAGAAAAAATTCTTCGTAAATATGTTGTCTTTTGATAGAGACTGATTATTTTTTGGTGATAAAACTGGTGGGACAGAGATTAATTTTTTTGGGATGAGTGATTTTTCCGGGCTCCCATGCCGTCTGAACGAGTTCAGTTGAGACTGTCAGTTCGTCACATGATTTCAATGCGTGGATGTGCTGTGTGATACACTCAACTCTTAACATGCTCATAGCATCGAAAAAGTTTTTCAGTTTGAAGTCACATGCGTGTTGGAGTGCTTGAAATTATAAACAAGCAAGTGAATGCTTGAAATTTGATAGGAGATAAGGGATGCATTTTCGTTTCATGTGACTTCTTAGGGAATGTTCATGATACGTTGTCGGAATTATTCCTCCTATGATTCCTGAAAAGTGGTGGTTGGTTCTGAGATATTAAGTCATAGACGAGCGACACATGGAACTCTTGGTAAATTATGCATGAGGTGATCAGGAGTCTAAATTTGTTTTTGCTGACGGAATCTGGAGACGGGAGGGACTGATGGAATGATAGCCATCATAGATGAAATTTTGATAGTGAGAAGTTCAGAAAGACATCGAACTCAATCGGAACTCAATGCGGAGAATCAGTGATAGATGTTCATAAGAAAGATAAAACTGGGCGATAACGCTAGTAAATGGAGTATTAGATGCAACAAATAGCATTACTTTCACTGTTTTCTAGTGATCACCTTATGAACTGATACAAACTCGTCGTTGATTATCCCTCTTATGATTATCATTACTATCGCAGAACGCTTATCAGTCTCTCAATGATACATTTCAAGATTCTCGTATGATTGATAACCGACTGTTCAGTATAAGATACATCAGTGTTGTGATGTACACACAAACAAATCTATAAATGCGTATGCACATTTGTGAATACTGCGTTTATTTACTACTTCAGATGAAGCAACAACAACAGTAATAATAACGAATATTTGATAAAGATTGTATATGGCATATTGCTGCTGCTTTTTGACTAATGCATTTACGATACAGTATCAGCTAGTATGGTATAGTGATAACACGAATACAGACTACTTGTTATCATATCATTTCGACTTTATCAGCTCTAAACAACACAATAACAGTATTGAAACAGTTTACGAGGAGCCATGCGGATCGTATGGTCGCTTCTCTTACTTCTGGGCACTGCTTCGCTAGCTGGTTAGTACTCTACCATGTTTACTTATCGTATTGAAAATTCACATATTTACTTTAACTCTGTAGTTACAAATCCGGATTATCGTAGAGTAATGCGTTTAAATTTTTGCAAAATGTCGAACTCAATGCTCAATAGTTCACAAGTACTACAATTAAAGATATATCACAGTAGATATTCAGTATACCCATCAGCTTGCATGGATCAGTATATGAGTTACTGTGCCCGAAGTTTACTTACCATAACTTTGAATCACTTTGAATTTGATCTTATAGTATCGTTGAGAATTAGAATGAACTGATATTACCGTGAAATATACAATTAAAGTTATACCACAGTAGATATTCAGTATACCCATCAGTTTCCACGGATCAGTATATGTGTTACTGTGCCTGAAGTTTACTTACCATAAGCCCTATCATTACTTTGAATTTTACCAGTACTTTGATTCATATAAGTAGTATCGCTGAGAATTAGAATGAACTGATATTACTGTGAAATATAAAGAGAAGTTAGTGTAAGATATCTTGATAATGAATTAAGTGAAAGGAATGCAGAAATGCAGAAATAATTCTTCACAGAGTATTTGAAACAATTAAATGGGAGTATCTACGCATATTGTTTGGTTTCTCGAGGGGAGAGGAGATAATATGCTGATAAAATGATAATGAGTGAATTGGTGGAGGTTTATTTTGAGAAACTTGAGATATTATTCGGTTGAACTCATAACGGCCAGGTAATGACAATCATCGATAATCTTGAGGACATCTTGAGTTGTACATTCAAAAAAATTAGCAAATTGGACTGTAATAGTTGGAGCCTGACCTATGTGGTCGAGATTTACTGTTAATCGTACTGAATGAAAATTTGATAATTCAATTTTAAAATGTTTATTTGATGGATTGATACCATTATTGTAGTTGGCCATCGTCATCGACGACTTCGAGCAGTTGGCCACGCGAACTGTGCACAGAAATGCTCTGGTTGGTTTTAGTTTTGAAATTGCTTCGATGTTTTTGCAGAAATATTTATGTATTTACCTATTGCAGAGACTTATTTGCTTGAATGTTTTGCACATTAAAGAAACGATTGCAAATACACCGTTTGCACTGTTATTATTTCTTTACCGATATTTTGTTATCAACATTTTATTATGGTTGTTATTTTGAGGCTTATTCTTGAAATGAAATGATATGATACGATGTGTTTGGTGAGGAGTACAAAGGACAATGCGATACCCCTTCAAAACAGCATCATAAAATAATCCATTTGTTTCATTTTCGTACATACAGCGCAATTCATATTTCTGGATCAGGCAGCGTACTCACTGAATCATAGGAAACATTGAGAAACTTTGATAGTTCCCTTGGAAAGTAGAGAACAAAAATATTTTCTCTCCAATGCAGAACTATAGTAACCATGACATGTGCATGTTGGATTATCTGCGTAGGATAAGGAGTTTTTCACAAACTCAGAACTTTAGTTACTGCTAACGGTAAGGGTTTGTGAATGCTCTCATCTCAATATCCGTCTGTCATTCCAGCTCCGACTAGTCGCGTTTAGTTATTAAAAAATGAAATTGGAAGCAGAAAGTATTAAACTCATCATTCGTTAACTTAAAAGCGATTTTTTGCGTTTCACTTTTCATTTACTAATCAAATTTTTCCCACATTAAAATGCAATCATTTTTTCTTGCATAAACGGAAATTTGAGCAAAAAAGGACTGACACAATCTCAACTGATTATTTGAGTATTATAGAAAGCATTGTATTTGTTGACATAACATTATGAACGAGAGCAATTTTGACTACAATACACTGATTTGAGATAGTAGTGTTAGCCCCAACGACTACCGATAGTAGTAAGAAATGACGATGAGCAATGTGACAATTGCTTTAAAGAATCGCTTGGCCGCAACGTATTCCAGAATTTTTTTCGCTGAAAAACTCATTTTCCAAGACCGGAACTTCCGAGTCTTACAAGCTCTCATTTACATAGAGCCTATGATATGCGAATGATTGTGAAAGTTTTCCTGATCATACGAGAGAAGTATATCACATTCCAATTGATCATCCAATTCCAATTGATTTCCTTGAACAGACTGATCATAATCAGTGATCAAACAGTAGCTGAGCTATGAGATGTTTAGAATCTAGACTTAATTCTGTTCAAATTCTCGAGATACACGTACAGATTCTACAGTAATCACTTAAGCTCGTATTCTAACAATTCTCACCGAACTGGATGGTAGTAGATTATTGTAATTGAAGTAGAAACCACAAATGGGGACAAAACTCACTAGCAACTCATGCCACTAGCGAACGATTGCTTCTTGCATTAGCTTTAACACTCCCGCTAGCGATTCTAGTTTGACATAGTTCTAGGAGATCGCTATTGAATGCGATAATCTCCTCATTGCAATTGAGATTCATTTTGTTTCCGTTTGTTTGAAGTCTCCTCATAGGGAATGCCTATAGTCGAATGAATGAATATCTATTGCGACTAAAAGGAATTCCCAGATGTGTTATTGATAATGAATGTAAGAGAATGTTTTTAAACCAGCAATCATAATGTTATCATCTACGATATATTCTCTTGACAAGACAACACATTATTTACTTGTCCCTTATCAGATGAAGAATGTACCCGTGGTTGAATGAGGTTCACGATGCACGTTCAGTCGAACACTACTTATTCGATGAGAATATGAGAATAACGATATACAAATAGCACTCTCAAATACGCAATTCCACTTCCATCACTCATAGTTGCTGTGCAGTTATCATATCATATCATATCATATCATATCAGCAAATATATCAGTTATCATCATTTGAATGTCAACTAACAAAAAGAAACTGTTAAAACAAACAATTTATCGTGAAGCTACTTCCGATACTTTGGTCGAATCAGAAACATTTGCAATAGTATTCTTTAAGAGGAATTCGCAATAGTATTCTTTAAGAGAGGGTATTCTTTAAGGTATTTCCTGATGTTGACATGAATGACTTGGTATTAGGTAAGATGAATATGATTGAAGGCGTATCCGGTGAATTGCATTATGAAGAGCATAAAGAGTATGTCTATGATACAACCTCTACGGCAACATTAAAAGTACCCCAGGGCAAGTACCAAAGTGTTGTCACACAACGGGCCCGGGCACATATCGTCAAGCATTCACCATGTGAATTCTCACTGAAGGTATTTTCATTAGTGAAGTATTAATAATCGCCTTCAACATAACAATCACTTTATTTCATGAATACAAGTGGAAGAAATTTGGTGTGGAATTTTGGGCAGTTTTTCATTTTTAGTTGAAATTCAGACTTTCGATCAGCAGATTTTTTTGGAGTGTTTGAATTTGTGAATTTTCTGAAAGTTTTCTGGGAGAAGAGTAGAATTCTCGACATTCGCAGAAAATTTCACGACGGGAAAACTTTCAGTTGAGTGGCGTATCATTGACTGGTATGGATGTTCCAAAGGATTGGGCACG